GTCCCTCTGCTTTAAATGTTGTCTGGGTTTCACTGTAGCTTCACTGAAGGAAAAAAATGACTGTCCAGCTGGCTCACTGCGTCCTGATAGGCTCCGCTTATAACTCTACAAATGTGAAGCTACTCTTTACTTGACAGCCATTCCCGCCCACCTTGACTTTCTGACCCCGCTGTTAGCCAGCTAGCATGCAACTCGTGCAACATTAAACAGCTGAGATTAAACATGGGATATGCTTTTGTTACTTTCCATTATGGTTGGTTAAGTATATAGGAGGCAATAAAGAACATTTAATCACCAATGGCTTCTTCAGATGTGACTGGTTTAATACGTCAGCCAGTGGTTAACCTAGCTACACACACAAGGTTAGCTTGGCAGACAGCTAGTTGGCGCAGGTTAATCCACCGCACCGAGCCGCCGGCTGTCGGCCTTGCTTTCCTGCTGTCACTGACAGCGGCTCCGCCGACAGGTGTCCTTGACCGGGCTTGAAAACAGAGGCGACCGGCTGAGCCAGCAGCAGTATTAACTACGTCAAAAGTGAGGAGAGTTGGGATAACCCGCAGAGACGAGAAGACGCCTCTCTGGGCTACTGTACCATGTTCTCCTCCTCCCGGTTGGTTCGAGTCGCGCCGTCTTGGCCCTGAACGGGGCTGGCGCTGCCTTCTGGAGTCTTCCGCTCCCCGGTGCCTTTCGGTTGCTTCGTCTTGTTACGGTTCCACAGGTAAAACGCTCCGACGCCGAGCACAATGGGGGTCCCGACTATCAGTGCCAGCTGCCAGCGGGGTAGCCCGCTCCCGGACTGGGGCTCGACTGGCTTTGAAGCAGCCATGATCCACTCCGTACTTAGCAATGTTAGCCAGCCGTTACCACCAGCACACAGCGTGAGGAAACGGCTGAGGGCTTCTCTTTGGCTGATGGCACCGCAGCAGGTTGGAAAATGTAATGCTGCCCCCTGCAGGCAAGACGGTGCTACTGATTCTTTAAAATAGACAATTTTAAGAAATATTTATTCCAGACAGATTTACTGTTATTTTTATTAGATTTTCTGTCCACGAGAAAATGTGAACAAGAGCTTTATTCCTCCTTATTTTGGCAAAGTAATCACTGAGAGTAAACTGAGAATATGCAGAACCTGGAGTTCAGTGCCTTTTCCACACATTGACAGGATGGAAGAGAGCTGGAATCAACCTGCCATTTGTAGGAGGACTACTTTACCCACTGATCCATACTACCACAAGAACATTATAATAATTTTGATGATAAATGTCAAGCACAGTGCAGGAATGAGATGAAACTCTTTGCTCAACTGGCAATAGAGGACAAAATACTTAAAAAAAACAAACAAACTTTGGTTTCACTGAAGCCACTAGATGGCGGTGTTGCTGTTTTTTAATCAGTCCTGGATTGTACAGGAGTCGGATTAGCGTGTTTAACTTTTCAGTTCTTATTAAAATTGGAGCTGCACTTAAATAATTAACGTTTTTTTTTTTTGTTTTAATGTTTGTGAATTTATCATGAGAGCTGTTATTTCTGCTACCTCTGCTTCTCATTTCTGAGTTTAGACAGCCTGTGTCAGGACAAGAGCCTAGAAACTCAACGTGTCCCCACGGCCGTCTGTTCTCAAACAGAGAGCAGCTCTGATCCATTTTCAATGTCAGGTGAGTTTATTATGTTTCTTCATATTATATCACCCAGCTAAACAACTCAGTCATCTGGTTACATGTGTAACAAGAATCCTCCAAAATCTTGTTGCTTAAAAGGATCCATCCTTCCATCCATTTTCTAACACCTTTGTCCCGAGTGGGGTCTGGAGGGGTAGAATATATGATATCAGATATCTGATATTACACATTCTGATACCTGATATGATCACTGTTTTCTATCTCTCTCTCTCTCTCTCTTTCTCTCTCTCTCTTTCTCTAAATAAATAAATCCAATTTTATTTGTATGGCACATTTCAGCAGCAAGGCATTTCAAAGTGCTTTACATCATAACAAACACAAAAACACAAAGTCATCAACCGTAGGGGGTTCTTGCCTTTGCATCCACAAAAGGTTTACTGGTTACACTCCTACTGTGTTATATGGAACAAAGTACCTGTTGGTATTTTTATTCCCACTCACGCTCACAATCATGCAGTTTACAACGGCGTTAACAGCCTTTCAACGGGCTTCCAGCACGAGGCTCCTTACACCTCTTTCACTGAATTTCAAGCAGGAAATCCTCACGAATTTTTGTGTAATTCTATGGTACCTGTTAGTGTCAAGAATTTACTGGGTTTCTGTTACGTTCTATGATGTCTCTCTGATGTGTTCACTTTTCTCTGTGCTCCCAGCCTTTGTTTATTAGCTTTATGTTTGTTATTACTTTATTATTAAATGAATGGATGGATTCTATTTACTCAATCAGGTGGCATCTGAAGGCAGGTGGTTGTACAGACATTTACTGGTATTCAAGTAAAGAGAAGTTTATGAAAAAGATTTTTTTTTTTTAATGTAGAAGCCATGTTTTATTCCATTTAATTTATGAAACTGCAGCAACTGCAGCAACATGACATAATGCAAAAATAAAATCAGGTTTACAGGGTAAGAATCCTTTTGGAAGTGTTTGCATGTTGTGTTCATAATTTCAGTTTGTTTTTATAAATTTGTCTTTACGCGTACGGAGAGCCAGATAGCTTCTGGTTCCAACTGGCAACGATGTACATTTTCTTTAAGAATTTGTCAGTTTAGCATTCATAAAATCTCTTAACAAATAAAAATCTTCTTCCTCATTTTGCCTTTAAATCGATTTGAATCGGCGTCTGCATGTAATTTGCCAAACATCTAACGAGCCTTTAAAGTCGTTAAAATGTGATTTGAATGCTGGGAGATCTCATCATAATTGTATGATCTTCTGGCCTTTTCTCGTCTCGTTTGCACGTAGGAGAGAGCCCTTTGACTTTCGGTTTGACCTTAACTCACTCCCATCTTTGACATAACAACAGACGACTGTAATCTTTGGGCTTTGCAGAAGTTTTTAAGACATCCAGCATGTCTCGTAAGCCTGCCTGCCCAGACTAGTCCTCCTCCCTAAGATCCATGTTGCTAAATGGAGACAATATGGGAAAAACAATCCTCTTATGGGTCTGATTCTAGATTTGGGTGTCTGACCGGAGTATATTGTCAAACCTCGATATATTAGGTTTAAAAATATCCAACTCAAAAGAGCAGCTCAGATTTTCCGAGGCGGATTATGTTACTCCCATCGCAAAGTAAAAGACATTCCAGCTCCTCATATTGATCTACTATCAGTTTCAACCTGGAATGACGAGGCGTTCGCTGGAAGTAGGAAGTCGAATTGCTTCACTGTTAACATCCAGTTCTCATCAGTCACATATAAACTTAAAAATGAAAACAGTTTGAAATTTTAGCACAGCATTGGTGTGCTGTCAGTTGTTCTTTTCGAGATGACGTCAGTCATAAATCAACACTAATTTAGATATTAGTTCATGTAAACCTGTAAAAGCTTAAGAGATACTCAGTGAAATGACAGGGAAATTGCAACTTTATGCACCCAGTCAAAAAGGATAAATGCAACCGATAAACTACTAGTCTCACATTATAAAGCATGAACTTTAGTTTTAGGGCTGCATAATCTAACCATCTGGGTTAAACACACGTCTGGGATGTGCTTAAACGTTTTTTTTTTTTTCGTTTTTTTTTTCTCTCCAGTTTGTTGATTGCTGTTTTGAGTTTTCCCTTCAGGCTTTGTAGGCCTTCTTTAAGCTTTTGTGTGTCATCTTTGGATAAAATGGTCTACAAAGACACGTCCCACAGGCAAGAGGGGAGGCTATATCTCGTTGGATGTTGTTAAATCAACTGGAAACGCTCTGTAGAAAAGATACAACCTTGTGTTTTGGTCAAAGCGATCCATGTTTCATTTAGACTTTAGGAATTTCTGTGGGCTTGAAGATATTGAAGCTTTATCTGTGAAGCAGGAATGGAGTTTTTAGTGTTACATTTCTTCCTGTTGAAAACCCCCCGTCCCACACGCACACCTCGCTCCCAAATCGATACTTTTTTGGATTAATCTTTTGCTGCAATAGCAGCTACCATGGATATTTTTGTTTTCATGAAAACTTTTGTTACAAGCTAAAGGCTTATGAGTGACTTGAACTTTCTGTTTATGTTTGGTCTTTATTCTATTATTACAACCTAAGCTTTTCACTGTATAATCTTTTGAAATGTCAAATATACAGTGCAGAAATAGCTTTGTTTTTTGTGACTTAAAGCTACAGTACATAACTTGTACGAAAAAAGATGTTATTTTTACATATTTGTTAGAATTATCACCACGTTGTGACCGCACAGATAATCTGTGAAACAAATTGAGCTCCTCTGCTTTCCCCACTATGGTCCTCCTCCCAGAGAAACAACAAATCAGAAACAGGAGGAGGGTTTTAACACTATCAATCAAGCCAGTGTATGCGCTGCTCACAACCTCCCCCTTTCTCTCTGCTATGCTACAGCTGGTTCACCACAACAAAGCTTGCCACGAATGCTAACGCTAGTTAGCATGGCTACAAATGACGGCAGATAAACAGCTATCTGTCTATCTGTCTGTCTGTCTGTGTACAGTAAAATGCAAGCCACGCGTCAGATATAGAAAACTAAGACTTTAGACTTACAATTATCAACTACATAAACTCCCAATATAACAAATTAAAGTTTGTAGTCCGACTACAAACTTTAATTTGTAAAGTTTTATGAGCGTCTTGATAAGAGACACTATGAAACAAAAATACAGTTTTGTCCCCTTTGCCACAGGGAGCCCTGGGCTCTCTGTGCCGTGTGGGAGACAGATCCCGGCACTCCATAATTATTGACAGGTTTGATGCGGTCTATGAGTGGAAAGTATGGGCGAATTGGAGTGTCAGCTGTTTACCCGCAGGCCCGCCGCTGTGATGGAAAGATTTAAAGCAGAGGCCACATCAGCCACCCATTGAAACAGAAAAACAAAACCTCTAGCTGTAACTCAGTGTCTCCCACCTCCCAGCATCTCCTTTTTTTAAAAAACTCTCTGCCAGCCACACGGTAAACAGCTTACCGTGGATTCTCTTATTTAAAGACGCAGGCGAAAGCCCTGCTGTTTTATTTTTGGCCTATCCAGGAATAACACAACAACACAGACGAAAAGCACCCTGAGGCTCCGTGGTGGCATCCAGTAGACGTTACCTTCCCCCTGTGGGACGTTCGTGTGTAGCTGGGCTGTCAGAGACTTTAGTGGGTCAGCTGAGCGTGGTCTTTGCTTTCTGCACCACTGAGCTGGGATCTCATTTGAATCTGTCCTGCTGGGTTTGCTGAGCCAAGAGGCTGCCTGCACCTGTGCCTGTGTGTGTGCGTGTGCACTCAGCAGTGATCATGTCCCTCAGACTGCTGCCCGCTATCGTGATGGAAAACGACGAGGACGATGATGGGAACTTCACCAACTGGATGAGTAGCTACTGGGGTCACGGAACGGATGGCGGACACTCCAGAGAGAGGAAACGTAGTTTCAGGCGGCCTTCGAAAACCAGCCTCGATCGCAGAGCATCACTGCCCACCGTGGTAAGGACGGGAGAAACACCCGGATGCACTCAGTTCCACTTGAATTGACTTTTGCAGAGCAGCATAATGCACACAAAATTACAGCTTTTCATGTCTGCGCGATTTTATTACAGCAAGGCGTGACTTTTATTCAGTCGAATGCTACATATCTGGACTGTTCCCATCCACGTGAATGCCTGATGGAGTAATCTTTTATGACTTGTAGAAAGAAGTCCTGACCTGGAATTTACACCGCTTGTGTAACAAATAGTCAGGGCCGTATTTACAAGGATGTGGCCCCCGGGGCTGGAAGCTGTTTTATTGCCTGATGTACCAGAGAAAACATATTTTGCTAATGCAAATGAAAGTATACTAATAGGTAGTTCCATACATAATTGGTTGGTGGTTTATACATCTCTTCAACATGTTGTTCCAAAAAATAATTACCATAACTTTATAATTTTCCAATACTTGAGTATTGTTTACGTTTATAAAAACAAAGTGCCAAATACTTGTACAACTCACCGGATATGGATTAATGACTCTTAGATAAAGTGGAATATCTGCAAAATATGCATTTGTAAAAAAAAAAAAAGAAAAAAGCATTTTTGTGGAACACTGGATCCTGTTAAAGATAGTGAAGGGAGCTGAGAGGGTCATTAGAATGTAGGATGCGTTTGTTCCATATCTGCTGCTAAACTGATTTTTTTTCTTATTATTATTCTTATTATTTATAGTTTTTGCTAAATTTATTTCTGCTGAAACCTGTTTTTTGTTTTCTCCTGGTGTTTACACGTCAAAGTTTAAGATCCCAGTTGTAGGAACACTAAGAGCGCCCCCTGCAGTCTACAATTCAAAGTAGCTGTGTGCGTTCCAGAGATAATGTAGCAAACATTGCTGATATTAACAATAAACTGATGGTTTGTTGCTCTGTCAGTAGCACACATAGAGTATCTATTTTTTAAAACTTGATCCATTTGTGTTTTAAACTATATTCTATTACTTTGGAAAATCATAGTTAGCACCTTGTTGGTCTATGTTACTAAAGTTTCATCAATGAAAGAGAATCCTTAAAAAGTTTTAATGTTTACAGTTATTTAGAGAAACGTGTTTTCGTGGGGGATGGTGGCTAATTCTGGATCAGACTGGATGGACGGCAGTGAACCGTTATGTAACCTAAAATGAGAAAAACAAAGAAGAGACGGATCGCTCATTAATTTCCTGGTTAATATTGGCTTACGGTTTTCTCTGACCTCTGACCCGCTGATTCTCATTTCAACTGACTCCAATGCTTTCTGACAATTAATCAATGGAAACCCCTTCCAGCTGCTTCTGTACGTGACTCGATCACCGATCAGAAACTGTTCAGAAAAAAAATGGTCTGATTCGATCGACTGGTCCATCTCTGCATGAAATATTAAAATTATTTGATTTATTACGTTTGTGCATTTATCAATTCGGGCTTGGTCAAAGGTTTTTACTATTTTTGCTTGCATGTGTGTCTGTGTGTGTCGAACATTTTTCTCAATGACTCAATCCCAGCAGGTAGACTTTGCATAAAAAAATTATTTTGTTTTCACTGGCATAACAGATGAGCTTTATTAAATGAGATTTTTGTCAAACAGGGAGCTGCTGTGTGTTATCTGCAATGGAGCATTCAGAGAAATAGTTTTTGACATGTGCATTTCCTAAAAATGGGGATTTATTTTCTTTATTTATCATTTTTTATATTGTCATTACCAAAGCTAAGACTACACAAAATATGCTATCAAGGTGCAAAACATTGAAAAATTACATGGTTAGTGAAATTATCTACGTTAAAGCATCTAATCTTGGCTCTGGTTTTAAGCTCATATTTTGTTGGCTCATTTAATTGAGTCAAAATTCTTAAGTACTTTTTTTTTGTTGCTGTGTTTATAATTTTTTGTTTGTTTTATATAAACAGGTCTCTCTTACAAATGAGATCTTGGATGTCAATGAGGCAACCTGTATAACCTGGTTTGAAATGTTTACATGTATGAGTAATATGACCTTCTCTCTGTCTGGTTATTAGTTCTTTAGTCCCTTGACTGTCACTCAATGTAAACCAATGGATAAATGAATTAGCTATGTGTTATTTTATTTAACACAAAATATATGTTTTAATGTATGTTTTGCTTTAACGAGGGATGCATAGACACACTGTAATCACTTCCAATACCAATACAGATGTCTGAGGTGTAGTGTTGTCTGATAACGATCCAATACAGGAAAAAAGTGCTGAAATGGCTTATGACGTTTTCCTGTTTTTTTTTTCTTTTAAACACAGACGTAAATGTACTGAATTGCAAATTTATTTGATAACTTTGAACACTTAAATACACCAATAGTTTCACAAACATGTAAAAGCAACACAACTTCAATTTGTTTGGGCGGTGAAATTAGGAGCACAACGTTCAATGAAGAATAAACAAACTGTCAAAAATGCAATCAGCAGTTTTAAATGTAAGGTAAAATAAACGGTAAAGCATGACGTCGCTCAGAGTGCGAAGCATAGAAGTAGACTGAATAGATCTGCCCTTATGGATCGAGTATATTGTCACTGGTAATCGATCTAGGATTTTTTTCAATATCGGACCAATACAGATATTAATATTGGATTGGTGCATCTCTAGCTTTAAGCAGTAAAAGTGATTGTGTAAGATAATTCCTGAGAAGCAGCTCAATACATTTTGTTCATTTTGCTTGGAGGTAAAGCACCATTGAGCTCTGACATAACTTAGCTTTAGACAGACAGAAAAACATCGGGGAGCCGAATTAAACGTAGAGTATTCACCTTACCTCACCTTACATCAAGGAATACTTGCCTTTCATCCCACAGCAGTCAGATTATAGCTAATGAATTAACTGGCTAAACTGAGTCAAGAAGTTAGCTATAATTAGTTGTGTTACCTAAGGACATCAGTGGCAGAGTGGTTTTCTCATTCATTAAAAACTGTCTCACTGAGGCTCTTTGTATTTTCAATCAAAAAAAAAAGAAAAAAAAAAGAACAAATCCCACAATGACACCCATTTTCTCTTCTCCTGTGTGATGTACAGACACAACTGGATGCCATGAAGCTGAACAAGATCCACACGGCGACCAATGCGCCCATTCCCAAAACGAGAGAAGACAAGGGGGAGGTCAGGCCTCACCAGAGGGCTCATCGCATCTCCTCGGACGAAAACCGGCCCAAGATGGCCGTCACGGAGAGCCGCATCACCCCCATCCCAGAGATCACAGAGTCCTTCCAGAAGAGGCTGTCCTTCACTGACAAGAAAACCACGTGTCTGGTTAGAACTGATGTCTATGTTGCATAAAGATTATTATTTAACTTCTTGATAAGTCGTTTTTGGTGAGGCCTGTCGGGATTAAGGAGTACTTAGAGGGCATTAAGGTTCTGTTACCTTCATGTGCACCCAAGATAGGAGGCACGTGAGATCTGTATGATGTAACAACAACAATAAAAAGCTCCTACTAGCAGAACTAACAGTTGTAAGTAAGGAGTTTGTGGGGAATATAAATGTAACACTGTAACACTAATACAGATCTGTGACATCATCGTCTTCTCCTTGCTAATGGAATCACTCACTTGTCCCTTTGTAGTTTTATATAACAGTATCAGAAACAAAAGAGCTGCTGACACTGACGCTGAAACTCGTTCCTCTTGATGTTTCGTAGAGCAATAAAGACAAGATATGCCTGATTTGCCATGAAGACATGTGCAAGAATGGAGAGAGAGTTCAAGAACTTCACTGCACACACCGCTTCCACAAAGAGGTAAGAGGACGTGTTCAGGTCAGATCAACCGCATACTTCCTGTCTGTGTTCAACGTGATCCCAAGCATGCCACAAATCAGGTCTCACATCTCATTCCTGCACATGCATGGCGGGGCCTGGTATGAAAACAGCGATCCAGTAGCAAATGACTCTGTAGATGCATGGCGCGTCCTCAGAAACTGTTGAGCCCCCTAACTTGGCGTTTACTGAGTCTGATGTCTCCTTCTGGTGGGTGCTGAAGGAAGCCCGGCGGTTAGAGGCGAGCGTGCCGCGCAGAAGCAGCGACACAGCGGCCTGTCTGTTCAGGAGTCTGACAGAGGAGAGGAGAAAGTCTGCAGATGGGTGGATTTCCTCAGCGAAGGAGCAGCACGCCCCGCGTCGACAGCTTTCCCTGAGAAGGCATCGCTGAAATCTCTCAGAAGGACGCCATCTTTTTTGATTTAGTGATTCCTCCAATGATTAGGAGGATTCTTTCTTGCATTATTTCAGCAACGTGGCGTGTCTGAATCTGCAAATCCTGAAAATGTCTCCTGAAAGCTGATCTATGAGTTCTTTGGGTTTGGTCAGAATTTGGTGTTCCAGTTAACCTCTTCCCCCTCACAGTGAAGCACTAAATTTACAGTAATGTAAAGGTTTGAATTTACAATTAAAAGCATTAAGTTGTCACAGAATAACTTAGTTTTTGTGGCTGTATGTAAATAAGTGAGGTCATTTGAGTTGAATAATATGCAGCATTAGCTGAACCAGAGATTTTTGTAGCCTATGAGCTTGAAGAGATTCTTGCAAAATTATTCATAATGTTTAAACTTTACATTTTGTTAAGTTGCAACCCCCAAATTAAATTTATTTTCTTGGAATTTTGTGTGGTTGTGAAAAGTGAAGCAGAAAGAAAACGATAGTGATTGAATACAAGGTTATCTTGTATTTATCTCAATCCATCATTTCATTATTTATTAGTAGCTTCTTTAACCCCGTTTAAAGAAAACCACATTTAGGGTGATGTACAGTGATAGTTTCTGGCATCCGAAAGCATAAAGCAAGCCTAATTTTAGTCATTTCTGAAATCTTTCCTTGGGTATGAATACTTCTGCGAGCTTCAACATCTGGTGAAAATATTGTGTGACAATTTACACTTCACATTAAAGAAATGTATAAAGTCAGTAAAACATCTACATATGTGTATATTTGAGTATGCTCAGACATCAATTTACTTTAATATGTGACCCTGTTTTATTACAATCCAAGTGTTGACCTTGAAACCAGAGTTGATATTGTGTTAAATTTTTCAAAACTTTGGATTATTTTTCTCGTGATGCTCCCCGTTTTTATTTATTTATTTATTTATTTATTTATTTATTTTATTTATTTATTTATTTAATGGGATTTACATTTATGCCTTCATTGAGGAAGCTGACTGCTTGCTTTTCTATGACATGAACAGGATTCTCTGGGGTGGTCAGAATTTTCAAGAGGGGGTCACAGACCCCTCTGAACCCCCCTGGTGGCCACCACTGGTTATATCAGCTTTATCCATTTTTAAACACAGGAAACTGTTTTCTGAGGATCTCACAGGAAATGAACAAAACACGTGTTACTGTCCTTCCCACATGACCTTGTTGTGCATGTAGTTCGTACGTGTGGGAAATGACATGCTCCCGTGAGAACGTATGTGTATAAATCACCGACTCGGTTAGCCAATGAATGTGGGTGACGTCCCCATCTGTTCTGTGGTATGTTTCAGTGCATGGAGCAGTGGCTGTGGAAGAGACAGACATGTCCCACGTGCCGCGTCCACATCTCCGTCATAAAGCCTCTCTACTGGTCTTCGTCCCGCACCACTGTCCCATGACGGCCCTTGCACCCGCATGTTCATTCCTGTGACCTCCTGGCTCCAGCAGGGCTGTGCATAGACCTTTGGAGGGCAGGGGCTCAAATTTAAAAAAGGGGCACATTGAACAAAAACACCATACAACAAGACAGCACACAGCATTAATCAAGAATCTAAGTGGATCCTACTATATCACTGCCATCATGCGGGGAAATGCAAAGCAAATATAGTCTATAATTTCCCCAACAGGTATAAAGTTGCTGTTTCTGCTGCTGACAGTCCTGGAGGGCTGAATTGATCTGAGACTGTAGCTGTTAAACAGACCAGAAGAGAGAAGGTCTCTGGTTATGAAGTTATGAAATAAGCAAATTTGCTGCCATTTTACTAATTAAGCCCTCATAATATCTGTTTAGAACAATCTGGCTGCAGACTGATTTATAGATCCAAAAAGCTCAAAGGTTTGATGTTAGTGCCTCTAGATCAAGATTTATAAGACAAAGAAAACTCAGTAGCTGCTGGTAGGGCCCATTCAGGGGCCTCCAGACATTCGGGGGCCCCTAGAAATGGTTTAATTGTAACACACACCATAGATCTGTAGCATCATTTATAGAGAATGACAATGTTATTAAATTTTATTGAATGCATTCGGCTGAGAAAAAAAAAAGTAAATTTAGGACTTAATTAGGACGTTTACTTTGTAAAAGTTTAAAGAATCATCATTCCTCCCTTTCCATTGAGGAAGCGGTTAATTTTGGAGAAGCACTTAAGACAAGACAAACCTACAAAACAGGTGAATTATCTTAATCCACTATAAATACTGTATATTTAGCAATTGTTGGAGCTATTTATTCTTTATTTCTTTATACATTTGAATTTTGTTAGTTTATTTTTAAGCTTCTATTTAATTTTTATTTTTTTTGCATTATTCAGAGTTTATTTGCAGGTTAATAATTGTTTTTTTTATTTATATTTTGTTTTCTTATTTTTCTTATTTATTTTTTGTAAGTCAGACAGGAAGTACGGTGGGTCAGTCCACGTTCTATGAAGGCCTGGTAAAGGACCAGCAGCCATTTGGGTTTTGGGGCCTGTGGTTTTTAGCAGTGCAGGAGAGGTAGGAGAACAAAGAAAAGTTTGATGATTGTAATTGCTTGCACAAAAGGAAAATAAAAGCAACCAAGACAGTCAACAAGTTTGGACCTTAAACTTATTTTGCCTGTGTCAAGAATCTTGGCCCCAGTGCCTTATAGTGGCTGATGGAACTTTTTATTGGATGTTTGGTTTGACAAACAATCGCCACTACATCAAGTAGAAACCTCCCCGTGAATCAAGTAAGGAACCAGCCTGTGGACTAAAAGAAATAATCCTTCATCATTGGACATGTTGGATTTATGGATCTCAAAGATTACCATCAAGCAAAGGTTTTGGATCGTCTTTGATGAAATGAAGCGACTTGCTGCGTGAGGCCTGGATTGAAACGTCACTCATTAATCAAACTGGTACGTGGCAATATTGTTCAAGCCGTAAAGGAAAACAGTGAAACTATTGGGAGTTTAAAGACATTTCACCGCAAAGACTGACGAGATGAGTTTGATGGGACAAGTTGACGCGTAATTGGATCCAGATGCCCATCGTGGAAATGTTTGTTCACAAGAATCAACCTCTTTACACAAGGAGAAACGTTTGTGCTTCATCCCGTGGATTACTTGTGGATTAATGTCGTTTTTAACAGTTTGAAGTCATTCAAAGGGTCGCTAAAAATATCTGATGTAGAGAGCAAAGAGGAGGACACTCAGATGTCACAGGAGAAAAGAAACATCAAATTCACACAAAAGGGTTTGGAGTTTTAGATAAAAACATGCCAAGAAAAACAATGTTTAAAGTGTAAACAGGCTTCAAAAATTGTGGAGAAGATCTCCACAACTTTTGTGGACGTCACAAGAAAATGTTACGAAAATGTCTTCTGACTTTGTCAAGTTTATTAAATGCTATCAAGACGCAACTGATTTACATGAATCCTTTTTAAGTTTGCCATTGCTAGAAGAAGAAGTGAAAAGGAAAACTGTGTATTTTCAGTCCAAGATGGCATCATCCTCTGATTTTATGGACTATGTAAAGGTTTAATTGCATTAAGCAGGAGATCCATACTCTGGAAAGAACAATAATGTTGATGATGATCAGGTTCTTGTAAATCTGGATGAAATAAATCCTGAAGACAGTGTTTCTAATGTTTCAAGTGTGAAGCCACGTTCAAAAACATCTTCACAGCAGTCTCGGACTTCATCCACCTTTTCTGCTCGCATCAAAGCTGCAGCTGAAAAGGTGGCGGTCATGGAGAGGAAAAGCTGAGAACAGAAGAGGAAAAGCTGAGAAAAAAAGAAGATGGCTATGACTTATTAGGCCCGAGCAGCAAAGCGCTGGCCTCGCGAGAAAATGGTTTATCTTCAACAGTAATAATCTGGCTGCTTATCATATGTACTACATGCCTTGAATCATATAATCCTCACGCAGCACTTACAAAATAAAATACTTTCACAGCTGCTAAAATTCTATAGTAGCGCAAACATGAACAAGCTTCTCGAGCCAGACTGTTTGAGTTGGCGATTAAAGCATAAACAAACAGAAGGTGCTGCAAATCTTATGAAAAATACTGCCTCTTCGTTTACACGTGTCAGTAATGCAGTAGCTGGTGATATCAGTGAAAGTACTGAAAGGTTCCTACAAGTTTGTTCACACGAGTCTGCCTTAAATTAAAAAAAAATCTACTGCTTCTGCTGCTGCTGAGTTGCAACAAATAATAAAGTTGTCTCTATGATGTGGTCAAACTCCTGGTATAAAGATAAACTGGAGTGAAGCAATAACTCTTGTGTCCTTGAATGGCTTCGTTTTTACAGTCCTAATTTTGCATGGGCTCATCAGGTGCATCACCACATTTGTATGGCTGCTGGAATCTATTTGGTCTGGACACACAAAGGCCAGGGTGAGTCAAAAATGTCTTTCTCTAGAGGATGACCAGTCGGGAGGAGCTTGTAAAAACGGACAACCAGGACAGAGATTTAGGAGTTTTATGATGCTGTTGTATGTTTGTGATGTGTGTTTCACATCAAATCATGTATCTTCTTATTTTACATTTAATAGCTCAAGTTAATTTGCAGGGATCTCGTTGGGCCTCTTGGTTTACATGAAAAACACAATGCACACTTTAAATACAGACACTTAAGATCAGATGACGCAAAATTAAGTAGCTGAATGAAACACACAGACATTCCCAAACAGGAAAATATGCGATTACTCATAATTCACACAGAAAGAGCTGTGAGGAAAAATTTTGTTGGTACTTTAAAATTCCCAAAGCATGTTCCAGACATCTGGATGAAATTAAATTTACATAACACATTATCATGTTCATACAACATAATTATCAAGTTATTGTATTCATGTTGTAACGTTCAAAAACGTGTCATTTTTTGTGACAGCAAATGTTATGAACTTTTACAGTCACCAAGAAAAAAAAATCAATTAAAAGTTTCCTGCTTTGTCCAATGTACTGTGGGTGTGTTGCTGTTGTGCCAGTGGTTCGCTGAAAGAGCTGGGACTTGAACGCCTTTCCGCCAGCAGCAGTAACTCTCCTTGCTTTGAGGAGGTTTTGAAGAGAAGTAGGGATGAAGGCTCTCGTTCTCAGCGAAAGGGACGTCCTCCTCTTCCTCCTCCAGCTGCAGCGTACGTGCCGGGGTTCTTGTTCCGGTCCGCCCTGCTCTCCCTCGCGCCTCGGAAAAGTAACGGTTTCCTGTGAGGAGAGACGGACCGGGCACGAGCTCTAGCGGGCGGAGAGAAAGTGCACACGTGGACACCGCTGACCGACGGCCCCGGCCGGCCAATGAGAGCGCAAGCTTGTGACGTCAGCGACCACCTCTTCTCCAATGGGAGGGTTGTTTTTTTTTTTCTTCACCGAGCAGCGCTGGCTTGCTGGGTTTAGAAGGGGGGGGGGGGAAATATCCTTGTTGGCATGAAAAAGTTGGGAGAAGGCTGCTGGGAATCTGGCTCAGCCCGCAGACTGCTGATGTTTACTCCGCGTCCAGCTGAAAAAGAGCAGACATCCTGGCTCGTTTCTAAGGGAACAACGATCTATGTGATGGGAAAACGAAAAGGCACACATTATTCTTCTTGAAAATACTTGATTCTTGCGATATTTTAGTTTTCAAAGAGGAGCTGACTTAGGTAAGACTGTTTTTGTTTTGTTTTGTTTTCCCCGTGTCTGAGAATCTAGAGCTATGGAAACTTATGGAGATGTGGCTTTCAGTTGGTACATAATTACAGACAAATACTAAACATAGATCTTACTTTTCTGACCTTGTTAACTCTGCAAGCATGATGACTTTTGAGCTGTGTTGTTAAAACCTAATTAATGATTTCATGCATGCAATCCAAATGCTGTAAAAATGAAAAACTAAACTATTTGTTTTTGTCTGAAACTTTTCTGTTAAAAAAGCCTCATAATTTTTCTCATAAAAATAAATGTCCATCTTAGTTCTAGACTAAGGTGGACATTTATTTTTATGTATTTAACAAACAACTGTGCTGTGATAAGGGTTACCCAAATAATTTTTAAAAATCTCTTTTTAATTTTTTTTAAGAAAAAAAAAACGCCAAACAAATCAACGCTTACAAAACGTCACGCTCTAAATATAGCACAGTTGCACCCTTTCTGAAAAGAACTTTCATCAAGCATTTATGATAATAACTCATAATAAGTGTTTTACGTCACTGTGGAAGGTTTTTATTTTGTTTGGTAGAATTGTTTTAATTGGAGGATGTTCATGCACGACCCATTTAAAGTCGTACAGCAGCATTTCAGTGAGAAATGAATCTAGTTCACCTTTTGGAACCAGATTCCAAAATGGTGGAATTCTCTTGTACTTTTGGATATTTTGGTGCTGCATGACACAATTGTGGTTCAGTTTAGAGCTCATGGTTAGACAATCTCAATCAGGATTTTCTGATAGAAAGAAAATATATCATGGCTCCATACCCCGCAGAAAGTTGTCAAGGACTTGAAGAAGCAAAGCAACCCCAGAGCATCACACTGCCATCACCATGTTCAACCGCCATACGATGTTCTATTTCCCAAAATGCTGTGGGTGGTATGTTTATGTTGAATGAAATGGGACGCATAAAAGCTCCATGAATGATGGAGTTGTTATCTAAAGCAGAAGAACACAAATGTGTGATCTAATTTTGGCAGGTCAGTCACTTGTAGGAAGCCTACTCCTAGCAGTCAGACTTGTTCTGTGAGGCTGGTGGTAATCGGACTTTTAGAGATGGAGGGCTCTATCCAGAATATTGACAATAACATTACCAAGTTGGTATCAGTATTGGATCGATTCCAGTGTGATAATATCGATACTTACGTTTCAGAATCATTCTTGAAATGTTATTTTATTTCCGTGTGGTAGTTTCTCAACCTTACCATAAAGAGACTTTGTTTTCAATTGCTCTTAAATGATATTTTTCTGCACTTTGTAAATTGTTTTGTTTTTCTATTCTTACTGTTTATTATATAGTGAAATCTAGTAGACGCCTATACATTTTGTCCAAATTCTGTTCTAGATTTGAATAAAAGGAGAACAACAACAACAAACGTCTAAAGGTCATAAGTTTTATGATATGTCAGACTTAAACAAAATGTATCAGTATCAGCATCAGAATCAGCTTCAGTATTGGCAATACTGACCTTGTGTTTAACCCTCTCCAGGCAGGTGTTGCAGATTTGCAACATCTTAGCCGGTCTTTTCAAGTAATTTGAGCCTGAGAGGATTAATGGATATTGGATCGATTGCCGCTTGATTAAAAATAAAAAATAAAAATCTGTAGCACTCAGTCAACTTTAAGAAGGCCGGAACTGATGGTAAAGTGATGATTTATTAAAGCCATCCTTGCATGTAATCATCCACTGCACAATGTCATCGAGAGAAATAAAAATTGGAATCATTTTTGCCATTAGTGAAGCAAAGCTCGTTACATTGATACAATTTCTTTCATGAATCATTCATAAAGCAGTCACAGAATTAAATTACTTAAATAAACTTCAATTGCTGTTCCCCTGTCCCCTTATTGACTGAAGCCAAATTTAAGTTGCCATTTTTTTTTGCGTTTTTCTGTCTTGCTCTCAACCTTTTTTTTTTTTTTTTTTTGTGGCAATGAACCTTCTCGGGTAGCTCTGTTGTTCTCTTAGCATAGATTCGTCAAACAGAATGTTGCCAAAATAAAAGCATGGAACTTTAACAGCAACTACAAGTAACAAAGTAACATTCAGTTGGCCTTTACAAAATCAAATTGTATCAACTCAGCTTGTCACAACTGAATATTAAAACTGATTGATCTTGAATATTTACCCTGGTGAAAAATCAATATAATAAGTACATTAAATCTTAGCATAATTGAAGTCAGAATAATCATCAGTATTCTCCAGGTTAGTTAAGGATTAGTTAACTTGAAGTATGGTATTTTGGAACAACTAATTTCGTGCTTTGTGTATTTTAATAGTAATTAAATTGTGGCAAAGCACAATTTGAAGTGTACTAAGTGTACTAACATGCTTTTTTGGAACAACTCAAGTTATACTTACGTACACGGCTTTAAACGTGCTTGATTAGTACATCTTAAGTGTACTATTTTTGTGAAGGAATTACATTTAAATATAGTTTAAGAATATCTTTTAAATTTTATACATTTCATATATTAGTGTGATCACAGTGTGCTCCAATTACACTTTTGGTTTACTATAATTGCAAATGAAGTACACTTTTCAGTGACTTAATGTGTTTTATTATCGTTCTTTGCCACTTTGTACATTACATGCTTCACCAGTACACAAAAGAGTCAATTACAACACACTTTGCAGATGAAACAAATGACTTTTAGTTTTCAGTATATTCACATTTTTAAAGAGACCGATATGCTATCAGAGAATTGTACAAACTGTCAGTACATTAAAAGTTTGCACGCAACATGATAATGAAAATTAGCATAATAAAACAATAGGTACACGTCAGAGAAAATGAACAAAGAGCAGATTATTGTTTTAGTACAATGTCACAGTATTCCAGCGTGACTAACAATTTGAAGACGTGGCCTGTCTGTGTGATGGAGTTTTCTTTTGGCAGCGCTGTGGATGCGAGGTTTGTTAAAAATTTGCTTATTTATTCTTTGAATTTCTTCTTGTTTAAACTACAAGTTGTTTCTTCAGACATTTTATTGCTGCGCTTGGCACTTGGTGGTTACCATAGTAACGGGTAACCGACAGCTCGTGCTGCTTTTTCCGTTGCTCTCGGTGACCGTGGTGCGTATCAGAATCAGCTCCGTGTTTTCTGTTTTCTTCTCAAGTGTTACATTTTAACGTATATTTGAGGCAAACTTGATAGCATGCAGTGTTTCACGAGTCATTTTGCTCTGTTTTGTGTGTGTTTTTCTTTTTAACTGTTGGCATTTTTAACGTTACGCCGTTTAGCTATGTTTAGTTTTAAAAATGCTAACTGCTGACGACAGCTCATTGGGAGCTATCGCTTTGTAGTTTGGTTACTTATTTTATTTAATGTATATAGAGGCAGAAGCTGTTGGATTGAAGTTATCCACCATTTTGATTTCCATTGAAACGTCACAGTAAGTTATTATAATTTTTTTTTCCTTTTCAACAAAATAGTAAAAGACTATGAAGGCACCTAGCAAGGCATACTTAGTTAGCATAAAGTAGCATACGTAAACACCGAAACTATTTCATTGCAACATATATAGTCTTAATTATTAGGCACTATTTACAAAGTACTTACAAATATTAGTGAAATGTATTTAATTTGAGATTTATTAAGGTTAACTAAAATATGCACATATAAAATACCACCAAAAACACAACTTCAGAAAAGTATTGTTTTTGTCTGTCGTATATTTTTAAAATGCACATTTAAAACATACTTTTATACAAATACATGTAAAGTGTATTTTTAAAATGTAACTTTAGTTATATATTTAATTGGAATTCAAAGCATATTTTAGGAAAAAAAAAAACAAGCATACTTTTAGAAAGTGTACCAAAACTACATTTTTAAAGAGTACTAGAAGCTTGTTTCTAAAAGTGTATTATTTGAGATTTTTAGTGTAAACTTAATAAGTGAACCCACTTGATAAGTGTACTTCAGAAAAACAGTATGTATAAAACATGCTTAAATGTACTAAACTATACTACTTTTTTTCACCAGGGTTAAGCACAAAATAAAAGTAAAAATTGAAAAAATCTTGAAGCAGGTGACTGCAGTATGCCAACAATGTTCTGTGATGTAGCATATGCTACATCAGTGAATAAACCACAACAAATGTCCAGGTTTTCCTGAAGTGAATCAGCGTCTTGACCCCAGCTGGCTGCCATCGGTTATCGTTGCTTATTGTGTGATTAAGGCCGACCAGACTGATGGCTCTTCCTGTGACACTGCAGTGAGGCAAGGCACGGCTTCGCCATGGCCGCCGAAGGGTTTTCCTCTGCCTGAAGAGCTCACACTGGGAAAGGAGCCATCTGACACACAGATGAGCTCCATTTAACATATCAAACGCTATGTTTCAAGCAAGGGGCGATGTTCAAAAGCTTCCCTTTGTCATTTCCATTACAAAGGAGAGTACAGCTGAGGTGTTTGGGGGTATTTTTTATGCTCTCTTGTGTTTTTCTTTTCTAGGCTATTTCATTCCGTGTCAGGAGGTTTTATTTTCTTTTTATAAATAATGTTTGGCTCTATGCTATTAAAAGTTCAAGCCCTTTCCCCCCCGATGTAATTTTCTCTCCAGCAGATGTAGGTCTGCTGCTGTTTACCCAAATTATAGCCACTCCTTCACTTTTTCCATCTCATTTTATGACACGCCTCCCCCGTCTCTGTGAATTATGTACTGCTCCTTGTGAAAGTGTTGGCCCTTCTCGATCTCCTTCACGTTTTATCACGTTGCTGCCGCAAAACTGCAGCGCGTTTTATTGGGATTTTGTTTTAAGTGTCAGCGTGAGGTGAGGGCAGGACTGGGGTGTTTTAGGAGAGGGCTAGGGTACTATGAAAATCAGAGACGGAGCCATGGCAACACTGAAGGAGTTGGATCAAAAGGCTTGAAATGGTAATTGCAAAGGACAGTTGCAGATTCAATTCAAATGAGCTCCAATCTGATGATTAATACTTTGTGAAGGGCTGTCTTGTTTAGAAGCTTCATTGGCTTTTATTTCCTTCTTTTTTGTTTTTGATTTTTGTGTTTTATTTTAGATATTTGAAAGGTCTTGCAGTTCCAGTGTGTGGTGCTCTGCGCAAAATTAAAGTTTATTGGTCTTTGAGCGAACTTGCAATATTATCCTGTTATCGATATCGTCACCTTCCCACAATAATGGCTTAAGGGATTTTGGAAAATAAAATGACAATTTCTTTCTTTCCACAGGATGTTTATGGCAAAAGAAATCCCTTGGATGTATCACTTGAAAATGGTCTCAAAACAACAATATTATCATTTATTGCGATATAATTGTTCACCGTCCAGTAAAACTTGCTATTTTGAGGACTGTCACAAAGTTCTCCTTTTGTGTTTTTGGCAAAATATGAAAAAAAAAAATCATCTCACTTGTTACAGCTGCACTGAGATGAGATGTTTGCCAGACTTCTCTTAAATCACAGAGAGAAGAGGCTAATCCAGTCCACCCATGGGATTGGGACGATGATTGCTCTGGCTTGCTGTCGTGCAGGTGCTGTGGATCATGGGCAGCTTTCAGGGCCACGTTCTCCCCGGGACCGTATTCCTGATAATAGGGATGTGGTGGGCGGGAAAGTTCTCCCTCTGGCACACCACCCGCAGGAACAAAAGCTTTGGCTCCACCCGGCTCGCCAGCAGGACCTTACAGCGACGCCTGGAGATCATTGAAAACATTTTTTTTCTCTCCTGCTCTCTTATTGGTGAGCAGGTCTCTGTTTCTTCTACAATTTTTTATTTTAAAATTGTCCGAATGCAGGCGGGCTAACACTTCCTATGCACTCCCCAGGTATGATCTGCGAGCAGTATGCTGCAAACGGCCCGATGCTTCATTTGCATGACTTCTCAGGGAAACACTGGGAGCAGTTGCACATCTGGCAGCACACAACCATGTACCTGTTCTTCTTCCTGGCCGCAGTTGTGTCTCTGATTGTCCACACGACCAAGGCATTGCCGTTGGCCCTGGACAAGCTGATGCTGGGGATCGCATTCTTTGTCGAAGGTGTGTGCTGTGTCCCTCTGTGTGGAAATAATTCAAATTTTAATCTTAGAATTATGACTGCAATCTTGTTGAATCAAAAGTCAGAATTCTCAAAGAAACATCTGGATTCTTCAGTAGCCATAATTTATTTAATTTCAATCTTGCATTGGGAAATTGAATCCTCTTCTGTTCCAAAACAAACACCAAAGCTTCACATTTCTTCCCTTAGGTAGACGTTCTTACTTCCAAGATTGAAATTGTTCGCCGAACATGATGTTCCCACCTTCTGACATGTTGATGGCAAGATATGGCTTTAGAAACAACTGTTTGCAGCAGCAGCAGCAGGCAGGCAGGCGATTCTGTGAGAAATGTTTTTGAAACACCAAAAGTCTTGAGAAAGGGGTGGAGTGGAGGTTTATTCCGTCCAGCTGGACAATGACCCTAAACACGCAGCCAGAGACTCAGGATGGTAATCCTGTAATTTCTGGATTTGCCTCTGCTTGATCACAGCACAATCAAATGATTCAATTGCTAGCAGAGCTTTGTGGAACTTAATTTCATGCTCATTAAAATGAGGTGTGTTCTCAAAATCCACACATGGAATCTCAAATCTAAGTTTTTGCCATTCATGGCTCAGTCAAAGTCCACACTTAAACACAAATCAGAATCTTTGAAAATTCACGTCCATCTACAGTCTGGCTGAGCTTAATCTTTGGGGGTTTTATTGTTTGTTGTTTTTTTTTGCAAAGAGTAATTTTTGGTCTGCAGACCAAACATGGCAGATACGTCCCTGAACGAACAGGAAGCTGCGATTTCAGTCATTTACAAAGAACTGAGTGGGACGTTAGAGTATACTGGACACTACACACAGCTATTTAGTCAAATTCAAAAATACTTCATGGATCCCAAAGGGAAATTAAATGCTGTTCTTACTGATATTAATTCAACATTTTTCAAAGAAATTCTTAAAAACACCTATCTTATGAAATTCTGAAGAGGTATAAAAACTTTAGCAGAGCCCCATAAGCAGATGAACTACATTAACAATTTTTATAAAGTCAAACTCCTTCCTCTGTTTCTATCAAGTTCCGTTTGTTTTCTGTTGGTCAGGGTTCCTCTTCCTCTACCACCTCCATGGACGGACCATGCTGGACGTCCACTTGCATCAGCTTCTGCTCTACGGCATCTTTGGTGAGAGTCTGATTTTTTTCCTGGAGGTCTTCCACAGAGACAACGTCATCCTGGACCTGCTGTGCTGCACCCTCACCCTCCTGCAAGGCAGCTGGTTCTGGGAGGTAAATCTGCCTGGGATCCCATGAAAGCCGAAGCTCAGATCGGTGGCCGCTCCTCTCACTCTGATCTTCCCATTCGCTCACAGATTGGTTTCGTGCTGTACCCTAGTAACGGCACCGTGTGGGACATGAAAGACCACAACACCATGATGTTTATCACCATGTGTTTCTCCTGGCACTTCGCCTTTGCCATTCTAGTCGTCGGTGTGGTGTACGGCACCGTCAACTGGTAAGAAACTGCTTTGTTTGATATATAAAGAACTGTTTGAATATCCTGGAATGCTCCCAGATTAAAGCGGACATATCATGCTTTTGAATTCCTCCTTTTAAATCATTCAATTATGGTCTATATAGAGTGAAACTGCAATGCTTTGGTCTGAATTTTTTGTTACTGTAGCGCCACATGCCCCTCTTTCACACCCTTTTTCTGAAAGCAAGTCGTTTTGGTGCAGTCTCTTTAAATCTTTAAACCCCGCCCCACCTCCAGATCGCACAGTGTTCCACTCCTCTTCATTTGCCGATTTCTGCAATTCGATAGCAGATATGCAATTATGGAGCGGAACTGAAACTTTTTATTTTCAAATGAATTAAAAGAAAATGATACAACAATGTGAATGAACATGTCTAGTGAGCTACAGTGCCAGGAACCCGACTGACTGGATTTGAATCATGTATTACCCAAGACACACAAAAAAAGCCAAACTCTTTATGTAACTACACTATTCAAAACACCCAATGGGGTATTCAGCAGCTACTTAAGAATCTAGCAGCTAGCACACACTACTAACATAAGCAGAAGCCACGTTGCTAATGCTATCAGAACAATGGCAATGGCAATGTGTTGGTTTCATACCAACACAAAATAAACTTCTGTCTAAAATAAAGTTTGTTGTCATCTTAGCATCTTTAGCAGAAGGATCAGACAAAGTCTTTTGGCAAATACTTATTGTTGCCAGCTGAACTTGCTCAGTACTTGATGTTGAAATGCTGTAGGCAAACAGACTTTAGGCACTCATGAGAGTAAATGTCCAAGAAAAATAACATTTACCATGCCTTTTGAAGATTTTCTGACACTAGTAGATGGTGTAATGAATTGTGTGGGTTAGTACACCCAAAAGTCGGACATTTTGACTCATTCGCATTTGGCTTTTGTATCCTTGAACTTGGAACACAAAGACATTGGGAGAAATAAAAATGGCGGCTCTGCGACATTGGTTAGATGGAAGTCTATTGCCTTTTTTAGCAGCTCTGCAGCAAATACTGCGATGAGATCGTCAAGAAATATAATAGGTAACAGAGAAAACTAATTGCACTGAATAATATGACCCATACATAATATGAAGATGTTTATGTAGCACCACAAGAGGCTAAATTCAACTTCCTATAGACCCCCAAGTACACAATAAAATGAATACAACAGTATGGATGGATTTTGCACGGTGTGTCCTCCTGAAAGCACTGTAGCTCTCTGGTTTATGTTACTCCTAAGTGGTGTTTATTTTTGTTTTCTCTTCAGCGTGGTTCGCTCCAGACTCAAAAGGACTCCACCGATGGAAATGGGACTTCTGAAGCCCCGGGAGCGGGATGCCGAGTCAGAGGATGAGATTTTATGAGGACTGTTGTGCAACATTTCCGAAACAAATCAGGGATGTGAAGCTTTCATCTTCAGCAGCAGTACGACTAAGGATGTACACAGGCACACAAAACAGGGCTATAAAAATGCTTTAGAGATATATTGTTTCCTCGGCCTTATTTAATCAGCTTTAAAGCCTTTTAGCCTGACTTGTAATTTATTTTTGCAATGACATGAAGCTGATTTCTGCCATATCTTCATTACCTGTACAATATTTTGTCACCTGTTATTTGGATTGTTTTCATCTATGTCTGTGCCAACATGTTAATAAAACAGTCATCTTCATTCCCGTGTAAAAAAAAATGCAACTTTATAAGTTTGCCTTTATGTGGCATTGTGTCTTTTTTCTCTTGCGAGATCAATAGGCTGATTTTTATTTTTTCAAACGGTGTGAATGTTTATGTTTTGCTGTCTAATACGATTCTGTGGCATGCCAACCAAATACAGATTATCAAGTTGCCTTATAAGTCACTTTTTTATAACTTGAAGTCACCGGATCGCAATCCAACAGAGCACCTCTGAGATGTGGTGGGTTAAGAAATCGCAGTGGTGTGAAAGCAGAGCTCAAAAAATCTGTTTTGCTTAAATGTTTTGCTGTTGTTCCACTTCTTCTTTTTTTTTTTTAGAATCTTTTTTTTTTTTAGAATCAAAACACAAAAACTTTGAGAATGGGACCAGACTTTAACAATGTTTAGGATGCAGTTGCGACAAATAAAGATTTCATAAAACTGAAATTGTGTTTTCACTCATCTTTGCTTTGTGTTGATTACGCTTTAAAATATGTGTAGCTTTATGTTTATGTCAGATCATGATTCCTCGGTTAATGTCAAGCTGTCGTAACAGACATTTTGAATAATTGTATTAAAAGTGTGATGATTTACCCAATGACACTTCATGACAAGTAAAAGTACATATATAAATATAAACCACCTATGTTTAAAGTTAAGTTTTCTAGCTTGGGTTGCACATATAACTCCATTCAGCTCCATAAATTATTTTGTAATTACAAAAGAAAAATTAACTTACTAGACTGGGTTAATGGGTATTTTAAAATGTAATGTGCATCGAAACATCCCAACTAACTGTGGAAGGATTATAGTACTTACAACTTCAGGTGGTTTTATCAACCCAAGCAGCTGCTGTAATTAATCTATTTAATCAGAAAATATAAGGGGGAAAAAAAGTTTGGATTTTGCATGAATTTCAGAATTTTGACAGAATTCATTTTGACTTCACGCACTCTTCCTGATGTTGCGGGTTTTGTCTCTCTATGCTGAACATCTGATTGTTGCCGTGTTCACGGCAATAAAATAAATAAATAAATAAATAAATAAATAAATACACGTGCAACAGATTCACAAAAATAATAAACTGTAAAGATCTTCTATTTCAAAAAGACTAAACACTCCAAGACATTAAAAAAGGATGACAAAGTCTGACGCTGCTTCCTTTCAAACACAAACGCCCACATTCCTGTTTGCAAGCCATAAAATGTAGAAAAGCATCATTTAGATGAGTTGTATTAACGAAGAAGGCAAAATCGGGTAAGGATATCATAAAAGATGCATTAAAATGTTATATTTTAGCCCGTTTGATCCAAATGACATACATCCAAATGACATACATACAAAACACATCGGAGTGAGACCTCTTCTCTGCTGTGCCCGGATATGAGTGACATGAACACCTGGCCAGGTGAAATACTGACAGCTCCTCTGACTGATTCTCAGTTTCACTGCATCCATCCAGAAGTGCCAGGTTTCTCTTCCCGAAGAAATTAGTTGTATTCCTCGTTTTATTCGAATTTCTCAGGACCCAGACATGTTTCAGTCGATTAAGGACCGAAAGAAGGACGACAAGGACAAACCGAAGTTTTTGCAGGTAAAAGAAAAAAAAAAACAAAAAGAAACATCTTCACCTTTTACGATTTAAACTCTGAGTCCAGCTGGATTATCAAATGACTATTCTGTCACTTTTGTATTAAGGGTCGAGAGAACGACCAAAAAGATAAATTGAAGATTTTCCAGGTAAAAGAAGAAGAAAAAAAAAGAAAACATCTTTACCTTTTATTATTTAAAATGTGAGTTTAGTTGTATTATCAAATGACTTTTGTAATTTTTGCATTAAGGGTCGAGAGAACGACCAAAAAGATACATTGAAGATTTTTCAGGTAAAAGAAGAAGATAAAGAAACATTTTTACCTTTTATTATTTAAAATGTGAGTTTAGTTGTATTATCAAATGACTATTTTGTCACTTTTGTATTAAGGGTCGAGAGAACGACCAAAAAGATAAATCAAAGATTTTCAAGGTAAAAAACAATTCATCTTTACCTTTCTAATATTTAAAGCTTGAAGTTTAAAGCCGCGTTCTTGCAATTTTGCTTAAGCCACCAAAACTGAAGGCATCCTCCACAAACTGGGGACTGAAGGGATTCATCTGCTGTTACTTCGTGGGAGTTGGATCCATAATTCTGGTTAGTGATTAATCAGAACTTAATTGGTATCTTAGCCCCCTTTTATTGAGGTGATCTCGTCCCTACTCGAGAGGGCACCTTTATCATTATTAATATGTTACTTGAAAATAGTCTGGAAACAACAATATCATTCTTTTTATCGCAGTAATCTCCATCTGCTTGTAAAATTTGCCATTGTGACAGACAGAGTTAAGATTCAGCTTCAGAACAATAAAAGATGTGTAATATTTGCATGCTGTCCTGTGTGTCTGTCAGGGAGTTTATGTGAGCTTCCTTCCTTTCATTGGAATTCAACTCTTCATTGGCCTCTATGCTTTTGGGAACATTTTTGCTCTTTTCAGGTAGGCGTTAAAACAGCGTAATGGGAAAAAATTCAGATCAAATCAACAACACCTATTGGACACTTTTGTACAGTGAAGCACAGTAATATATTATACACATATATATACAGCACATTGTTTCTCGTGGGGCCAGTGAAGCAGCTGACGAGGATGTGCGACATGTCCAGAGTGTTGGCCACCTTCACCATGCTGGTAAGAGCACACAAATTAAATACAGCATGCTTTTATTCCATAAGAAACATTTGTAATATGTTTTTCCCAGATCCATGTGAATACATAGAAAAACGACAATAATAATAGTAATAATAATAATAATAAAAGAAAATCCATTGTATACATGTTTGGACATAACACAAAGTGAAATAAGGAACAGAACTAGAATAGCATTAATTTTCCAGACAAGACTGCATCAACTATTGAAAATTTTAAAAAATTGTTACAAGTCTGCTCAGGCAGTGGGATTTGCTGATGTCATCCATTTGGAGTCTTCCTTTATAGAAATGTATAAAAAGTGATAAAAAGCAACAGTAATATGAACTTCTGACTGACTGTCTCTCATTCGGCATCACATGTTTTCCTGAACATCCTCCATTCATGTTTGTATGCATCATTATTATTGGCCTTTTATTGTTTTTTTTTTTTTTTTGTGGCTAAGTGTTGACAGCCTTTACACAGAATGCAACTTGGAAATTCCTGTGGCTTTCCTGGCTTTTAACTGGAACCCATCAACTCGACATTATTCTCAAGTTATGACAAGTCATAACTTCCGTTATAACATTTTTCCCCAGAAGTTGTGACTTCTGGGGAAAAATGTTTGCTGTGCTCAGTAATCCAGTTAACAAAGAGGCAGTAAGCAAGCCAACTATGATGTGTTTCCTTAGATTTTGAAGCATTTAAATACAAAAAGGGATGCTGAAGAATTATGCTGAACACTGCCATGTGCAGTAATGTAATGTCCCGAGTTTTAAAAGGACAAATAAACAGTTTGTAGCTGTTACTCTCATTGTTTTATATGTTTTGTCCAGGCCTGCATAGTTTTGACTCCCTTTGCAGCTCTATGGGTGAGTGAACGTCACAGCAACGCAGACCCTAATTACAACTTCTTGGTTTTCTCAACGCCGACCACCGTGCATCACCTCAAGTCATTTATAATTATTCATTTTGTGTTTCAGTGGAACAGCTACGGGTTAACTATGCTGTTTTGCGCTTTGCACATATTGTCATTTTCCTGGTGAGCTGCTCGTCCGCCTCCAGTTCTTCAGTCTTTACAGCAACAGTTACTTTGTGACATTGAATGCGTCTTGTTTGCAGGTACAGCTTGTCGTTCACGCCGTGCGTCAGGTTGGTCGTTGCAGAAGCAATTACTTGAAAATTCTGCACAGTGATACAGTATCGTAGTGCTGCCTGCATGTCTGATTTATGTGCTTTACGTTTTCAGGAAGTTTCTGAAGATGTTCTCTCTTATCAAGCTATGAAGCTCGCTGTTTTTTGGGAGCAAGGTTCGAGATTTGCTGGGACGGGCTTATCGCTGATAGAAAATTTGTATCTTTCATCTTCTTTATTTTTATTTTTTTAATTACGGTGATTTATTGAATTATTTTAAGTAACTCTCTACACTTACTCACAAGCACGGCAGAGGAGGGGTGATGGTTTGTTTTACTCCTCGT